ATTATTACGATAACGACAACCGGCGCCTCTTTTTCCGAGGGGGAGCAGGGACAAGGGGAGGGTGGGGGGGTCCCTCCTCGTGGGTTGGTCCCTCGGGGCTGGAGGAACAGCTGGTGGGGATCAGCAGGGATAGGCAGGGCCTGGTTTTCACTTTGCTTTTGAATTACCAGTTCCCACCCTTTTTCCTGGGGTGCAGGACATGGGGGGGGCGTGTCTGGTGGGCAGCCAGGAAACCCAAGTGTTGTGTTATTTTTGGTCCCTGACCGTGGACAGGACGTTCTCGGAGGTGGAGCAAGAGCAAACCCTGCTCTGCCCCCACACACAGAGGTTGCTTTGGGTTCTGGCAGTGCCACATTCCCCAACTGCAGCCCCATCCAACCCCTCAGAGCTGCACCTTTCATAGAATCACAGAATCACTTCAGGCTGGAAAAGACCTCCAGGATCCCAGAGTCCAGGCCTGGCACAGCTGCTCGTGCCACTGTTTGCTTTTCCAGTTGGATTCTTCCTGCCCTGTCAATGCCTTGCACTGAACCCGGCGATGCCCAGGCTGCTGCCTCGTGCTCTGATCATCTGGCTAATAATCAGTTGGCACCTTCCCCTTTCCCATCTGTGAAGATAATGAGGGTATAATTCCCTTATTTTGGGACCACAGGAACACCCGTGAAGTTGCCTCCCCCCTCCCACCTGCAAACACTGAACTCACACCGATCCCACCCCAAGGGCAAATGCTCCCCACGAGCAGCCCCTGGATGAACCAGCAGCACTCGGTGAACCCCAAAAATGTAAATTAACCCCCATCCTGGGTGTTTGGATGGAGAGATGAGAAGTGGCGCTCTGTCCTAGGGAGGCACCACCGAGCCCTGGCCCTGCTCCATCACCTGCCCCAGAGCAAAGCCCAGATGTGGAGCTCCCACAGGACAATCCCTCCTCTCACCGTGAGCAACTGCTGGGAAACAACATCACAGAGGAAAAAAGAGGTCACTGAAATGAGGAGTGGGAGGGAAGGGACTGATCCGAGAGCGCCGAAGGGCCCCTTCCCCATCCCAGCCTGGTATTTCACACTCATCACAGGGAATATTCCGTTTTAATTTTTTTTTTTAATATTTTCTTCTTTTTTTTTTTTTTATAAGCACATTTGTGCTTTGCCAACAGAATCAAGACATTAACAAAGATCAGCTTCTCGGAAGAAAAGCATTTCTATATAACAAGGACATTACACAGCTCAAAGCAGGAAAAGAAAATATTTACAAAATACAAGGTGGGTTGAGTTTTTTTTTTGTGTGTGTGTGTGTGTATTTCATAATGCTAAAAGGGTTATTCAGAATTTTCAACCTTATAAATAGAAAAGCACTTCTGCAGAGGGATATGGTAGCGCCGTTGTCTGTTGGGTTTTTTTTGTTGTCTGTTTTAAAGAAACGATGACGGATCCTTTTAAACTAGAACAGAACCAAAACCACGAGATAATGTTGAAAATTGTGAAGACCCCGACCATGAAGCAGTTCAGCGACTATTTCTTTACGATTACAAAATGGAAAAAAAAAAAAAAA